CCCCACCTTTTTTTCCTTGTGGTATCGGCGACGCTACCAAAACTTCTTGCGAATTACTTCGACAACGCCGCCATCGTTTATTAATTAATTACAATTAATGACATACAACAATTTACGAAACTCTCAGGAAGTCTGAGACTATTTTCCATAGCGGACGCTAGTGAATAGGTATGTATAGGCTCCGGGTGACCCGAGAGTGCAAATTTAGTTTTTAAACTGGGTTAGCCAATTTAACTGTACTAAATTCATTTTCGTCTAAGTAAGTATTTTGATGGTAAAACTATATTGTTAGTAACTCCACTTCTTTCCAAAGATTGAGGAGACATAGAAGTTTTTTTCACATAAGCAATGCATTTTAAAATGGAAATATATATTTTTTTTTAATAAAAATGGTCTACTATTAGTAATTTTAAGAATATTATACAATTTTAGTGCAAAGTTATGTGCCATTTAATGAATTCCCTAAGGCAAAGTATAATTATTTTTGTCACACTTGTACCGAAAGTTTACTTTTCGATGACGGTTGAAGCTTTGGAAAGCGACCTTTTTCCGTCCAGCTGTTGGTAAAGTGGGAATCCCCAAAGTGCCGGGCGCTTAAGTGGAAACCCCAAAAAGTGCAGGGTGGTAAAGTGGAAATCCCCAAAAGTGTTGGGCTCGCATATCACGCGTATCTCTTGCACAACCAGACACTGAATTCTATACTTATTTGGTTAAATCTTATATTCATGTTATAACCTACTTGCATGACACGTAAACCTTTTTAATTTCATGCAATTGTTTTCGTAATAATGATCTGGTTGTTACGCATAGATTTCAGCATAGTGCGTAGTCATCTTTGACGTGATTTCATTTTAGATTTTGAGAGGAGCGATGAATGTATTGATTTTACAATGATGTGTGTTTTTTTATATTTTATATTTTTTTTTTATTTTTCTGCTTTTTACTGCTTCGATTTTCTTCAACAGTATCTTGTTCGATGGAAAAGTTGAATCTAGTTGGTGCATATGGGAGGTCAAATATTGAAATTCACAATAGTTTTCAAAAACGCCGGGACAAACAACATACAAATTAAGGGAAAACGGGAATTTTTACGCAAATTCGGGTTTCCACAAAATCGATTTTGGTTTTAGGCGTAACGCATACACATGAAATTTTCACTGGTTGTTTAAACTTGCATTTTCTATACATGATAAAATTTTCAAAATATTGTGAATTTGTGATTTGTTTTGAACTGTTTAGGAACATTTTCAGTTTCCAATTTTATTAATATTTTTTTCCATGCATTTCAACACAATTTTATTTGTTGGGTAAAAAAGCTTGAAAATTTAATACAAGGCTCCTACTATATTGTTCCAATGATATTTGAAAAATATTAAAAATCCTTAGTCACAGTTTATTTTTATAAGCATTTTAAGTTTAAATCTTGACAAAATACGGAAAAATCACGAATATTAGCAAATTATTTTGAGTTGAGAATTCATAAAAAATGTTATTTTTAAATCTAAGATTTGAAATTGTAATACAAGATTATTCATAAGTTTGTCTACTTCTATAAAAAAAAAAATGTCTACAAGCAAATCAAATTAAATTTTTATGAGTGTTTGAAGTTCATATTTAATATATACACATTCATTATATTTTTACAAGATTGGATACCACCTTGATTTCTCATGTAGTGATTTTTATTATTTTGTTGTTATTCAAAAACGAATAATTGTAGATACATGACATTTTACTGAATGTTTATATTTTCTATTTCTATACACCAAAAATTTTTTAAAATATTTCGACTCTTTTTAAGCTGTTTACTGACATAGTCAGTTTTCAATTTGTTTAGTTTTTTTTTCTATACATATCAATAAACAGCGTGACTTGTGACCTACTGTACAGCAGAGCGAAATCCAACTTACCCAGCTATCTTTATTCTTGTTTTATTTTAATTTAATAATTATTATTTATACTGAAATCTATTATACGGTCTTTACAAAACATACATTTTTGGTTAAATTATCAATTCATTACTGATATTATAACCTCCATGGACGACGCTTAAAATAAATAAAACTAATATATCATTTATTTCATGAAATATTGTTTTTATAGAATTATAGTCTGCAGGATGTTGCAACAATCTCTGCATTACTTTTGCCGTGATCAATGAACGTAAAAGCGTGACAAAAAAGTATGTGTGGCTCGTGTGGGGCAATTTCAGTCTTGGGCGAAAGCGACTGAAATAGCTCACTTCTTGCCATTGCCTCACAATATACTATAAGATGGATATCATTTTAAGTTATGATAGTTGCATTTGGATTTGTCTATTTAGGTAGATTCCACAGCAGGTAAAATAAGCGTTTCGGCGATAGTTTTAAATGCTGCAATTAAAAGTGACACTTTGTAGGAAGCAAAAAGACCTTTATCATTACTATGTTTTTTCATTAAAAAAATTCACACCTTTTTTCAAATTTTTTCTGTAAGTCACAAAAATGTAAAATATTTTTGTTAGTTTTATTTGTTTTTTTGTAAAATTCTCATTCATTGTTGAAGTCAACAACAAGTAGGTAGGTACCAAAATTGTTTTTAACAAATAAGACACGAGGGATTTGATCCACTGAATATTATTAAAATTTTTTTCTTGAACATTTTAGAATTACGGATATAACTTTTATATACACTCACTCAATAACAAACTATGCGACTGTTAGACAATGTCGGGGCCAAAGAATGATCGTACTGAATAGGGTATATATTGGCATTGGTAATGTACGTCATGCGATAAGATAAAAGCAATTAAGTACCTATATCATTACTTTTGTCGCTAATATTGCAGTGGCGTGTAAAAATATTATATTTACATAGAGAGTTCTTTTAGTCGTATCGAACACTGGAACGACAATTATAATTTATCACGCACAGTTATAAATGTCATTGCAATAAGTTATAAAGTGACTGAATATACGGCCACCTTAGAGAGCTCTAAAGTTGAGCGCTCTGTTAAAAGTTAAAAATTCCCACATGGAGATGGTCGCGTCTAACACTAACAGCACTAACAAATTGGATATTTAATTTATTACCTTGTTAGTTTTACTTTTTTGGGGATCCAAATATAGTATGCAGCGTATGTGATAAAACACGCTCAAATGCCTTGTCACATACATATAAATCTATAGGTATTGCAGAGTAGATACCTATTAGATACCTACATATATGCCTTGTACATCTTCCGTTTTAATAGTATACCGATTCTCCGGGTGCATCTAACGAAAAATTTCAAAAAACCATGACAAATGAATTGGCCATTATCGAAATTCGAAATAATATGCGTATTTAGGTAGGTAGGTAGGTAGGTTCATACCCAGTAGGTGCCTACTTGTGAACAGTTATTCACCGCAATTCCAAGTGCCTGCACGATATTGAATTATTTAAAATAAAACATATTTTATTTACAACTTTATCAATATAGATGATTGAAAACATTTACAATGTGTTTTCAATGAATTATTGAAGATACAAGATAATATCATATAACATACTTTATAGTATAATTTATAGCTTATATAATAGGTATAATGTTATTATGATATATTATTATAGTATGTATAAATATTTAGTTAAAAATAATAATTTATTCTTAAAATAATATACATTTTCAATAATATAATAATAATTATATAGGTACATTTGACTAGAAAATGACATTTTTTATAAAGGTACGAGGTTTTTCAATTTTTGTTTGGTACGGGAATAAATATGAATCAAAGTTTAGTCATCTATTTCATTTTTATAATATTTATACATAAAGAACAAAATTCGTTTAAAAAACGTCAACAAAACACAATAATATTATAATAAATCAACTTTTTTAAATTTATAAACGTCATTTGCAATATTGTGGGACGTGGATGGTGAATTCTTTCATTCGGAGGAAAATTTCAAACAGACATGTTTAGTATAGAACGGAGTTACTGACAGAACACAATTAATAGTATAACAGGCTATATTATGCCGGTAGTATAGTTGTTACACTTTGGGTTGCTGGAAAAGTATTAATAGTCTACTTCAGCTGGACCAACGTTTCCCGATAATCTACACACCGTGCCACCAATATTATGATATATAGCTTTTAAGTGATTTTCGTTTATTAAAACTTTTCAACAAATCGTTGAATTGCACCAACGACGTTTGGGAAAATGGGAACTATACGTAGAGGTACGTGTATACTATATAATGTAATACAATGTACTAATGATATGGAGACGATTCCAAAAACATTCAGATATAAACCCTGTGCCAACAGGTGGTGTGCATAGACAACATGTCGTTTAGGGTATACCTAAATGCGTGGTGTTTGGGAGATTGATTGAGTACAGAGAGAGAGAGAGAGTGATAGAGAGCGAGTATAAAAGATACTAGGAAATCGTTCGTCATGGGAATCGTTTTTATAAGATCGTTAATACTGTATAGTATAATAATATATTATAATATGGAGGGTACAGATGCATACGTCGAGCTAACGTCACGGGATTATAAATAACAGAAATAAAATTAATAATCGTATATCGTAATGTTGTTATAATATATTTTACTTTATGCACGCGGTACCGATCGGTCCAGTGATTCTGTTGGTTACGGTTTATAATATTATCATTCAATACATTATAACTTATAAGGGGTGACTATCATTACCCCCCACACCCCTTAAGAAAAAGAACAGTGTCCCTCAAAGTTCAAAATTACATGTGTCGGACTTTTTTTTATACAAATCGTCACGAACGGTGCACAAAAAAGCTATTGGTTTTGATTGAAAATTCAAAAGTGAGAGGAATTATTGTTCTGTACTCATCGTACATAATAATAATATGCTGTCGTCGTGGCCGGGTGTTCATCATCGTGACGCGTGGATAATGTTTTGGACGTGTTTTACAACTTTGGTTTTTTTAAATGTTTTTTTAAGGTTGATAAATATGGGTGGATGACGAGGGCTGCGGTCCGGGGATGTCGTATTACAAGGCGTACGGCTGGGTGCCGGGCCTGGGCGGCTGTTTGAGTAGGCCCACGTAGCGGGCGGCGTGCCTGCACTTGGACACCACCTCCTCCTGGACGAGCGAGAACGACATGGCGATCAGGACCAGGCCGAACAGCAGGTAACCGCAGCACGCGACCAGCTGCAGCTGTCCGTTTTGAGTGTCGGTGCCCTGGAACGACTTGCCCGGTACCAGGTCGCCGAACCCGATCGTGGACAGCGTGACGAAGCAGAAGTACGCGCCGTCGATGAACGTCCAGCCCTCCCACGCGGCGAACACGGCCGCGCCCAGACAAATGTAACCGGCCAACACGAGCAGCACCAGAGCCACCGGTACGCCGGGCGGCGCGCCGTTGCGTCTCTTGTTCGGCCGCTTGCTGTTGGTCGCGGCCACTGCGGCCGCAGCAGCCGCCGCCGCCGCCGCAGCAACCTCGCGGTGATAGTGTTCGGAAGCAATGGCGGCGGCCGTGGTGTTCTGTCGCCGGTCCTTGTCCGCACCACCACGCCGCCGTTGCTGTTGACGGTTGCCACTCAGGAGCGGCACTCGGCTGGGCGTCCCGTGTGCTCCACTGTACATTTGGCTGCGGAACACAAAACGATATTATAACAAAAATGTATAAGGAAACTTGTATTTGATTTCCAAGCTTATTGACAGAGCAACAATCGATAAATTTAATGAAAAAAATTTCATAATGTCTGTAAATAACTTCAAAAGTAACTACTATCAACGGCCATTAGTTTTTGTACTATACAGTATACAATTGAAAATCGTTTGAGAAGAGACAGTTATTGTACGGGTCTTATGAACTTCAAACGCTCGTCAAAAGTGATGTGACTTTCCGGCAACCTATTTTTTATACATAATATAATATAGGGAGATAAACTTTTGAAGAACATTCAATTTCGAAGATTTAATATTATATACATTTTCTTAGATATAAATACAAACATTTTTATGAATTTCTAATCACATAATAATTTTCAGATTTTCACGATTTAGTGGAATTTCGTCACAACGCTCATTAAAAACTATCGTGGACTTAAGCTCAACTTTTTTTTTTGACTGTAGGTAGTAATTAAAACGTATGATGAAACTTAAATTAATAAATATGGGTACAACATGCCGTATATGTTCTGTAGGTACCTATAATATTTTATCAGTGTCGATCATTTGAAAATTTGTTTATTATTTAATAAATTTTACTTTTTTCATTTTACTTCTTCACAGGAGAATACATATCGACATACTTTTTGAAAACGTCCCTGTGATTTTTGTCCGTTTATCGGCTGTATGGGCGCTGCACCAATACACGAAAATTATATGTCTACAGCACACATATATAAACGCGTCAAGCACTATCAAAAGTGTCAAGTACCTACCCAATACCCATATTATAGAGCAGGGTGCGCACACTCGAAAAATACAATTTTTTATTGAAGCGACAGATGTCACGTTACAGAAAGCCAGCCGCAAGTCCCGCAGACCGGAAATATGTATTTGAAAATGTAATAGGTATCCTAATATATATATAAATATAATATTCTATACTATGTATTAGATAAAAAAATATGTACAGGAAGCGCGAGATGCCAGTTGGTTTGTATACAGTGCGTTTATAGTATAGGTATATATGATTTTAAAGAAATAATGTCTTCGACACTCGATCTCCCGATGTCCTATGGTGGTTTCAGTGGTGGTTGAGAGGATGTGCAGGTCTGTAGTGACGGTCCAGTCTTGTTTGTGCGAGTTCTTTTAAGGGTTAAGATCGAACGGGAACAACCCATGAAGCTGTGTTTATTAATTTTTTATGGTGTGAGGAAAAGCCTCAATGCAACCTTCGCCCGTTAGAGTTGTACAACTTGACACTTGTTCACGTCAGGTTTATATCGAATTTGTGTGTAAATTAAAAACCACGTACATGTGTGTAGGTATATATATGTATAGTTCTCCTATTACGGTACTGTAATTTTCACACCTATGATTGTACTGCGGTAGGATGGATCGATTTGCTGGTGAAAAAAATGTTTTCCTAATTGTAATATTGATAACAAAATTGTGATGTGTTCTGTGCTTGAAAAAATATTAACACCATACATCTTATTATTATTGTGGTATTCCGAGACCCACTTTTTAAATTACACAAATCCAACATTATAGCTATTAAGTTTCCCAGCGATTAGTTTTCTAACGAAAAGTAATTTACATTAGAATTGTATGATACAATTATAAAATTATATGATTATTACATCATGAGTAGGTATAATATGTATACCTTATATAATATATTTTTTTATGGTTATAATTTAAAATATAGTGTTCATACTTCTGTGCTCCTCCTCCTTTAACTTTTAATAATGCATTCATTAAAATTATGAATTTTAGAAATATTAAAAATACTTATTGCTTATTTTATGATTTGTAAATTACTAATTTTTACAAATAATAAAATATATTTATTATTTATAGATTAATGTAAATGGCTAAATTATTAATGTTCACATTAATATATAGTGATTAGTGTTCATACCAACCAACTATATCTCATGGACCTATCATCGGTTGTACATAAGTACATTTTAACTCAGAAACTATAACCATTCAAATTTAGACTTGATACATAAAAATTTTCATAAAAATTGTCTGCTAATAATTTACACTAAAAAAAAATAGTTCTGAAAAATAATTAATTCACACTTCTTGAATTCAAGTATTTGAAAATAATTGTTCTTAAGAATTCTTTAAAATTCGAAAAATTCGAATTTGAATAAAATATGCATTATAAAAAAAAAAAACCCGTGCGAGCATGCATTTATGCTGTATATACTTTTTTTTAGATAAGTATAGGTCTATACCTACTATATTTTTTCTTAGTCAGCGTGTAGGATTATGGTCCGGCTTTACGGATCGAGCATTTGATGAAAAACTGAATTTAAAATCTTTTTCTAAATGAAATAGGACTTTATTTTAGAAGCTTCCTTTTTTTTTCTTAAGAAACTGTTGATTTTAAATATTTTTTAAACTCAAATTAAACCATCGTGCTATATTTATCTATCTGGTTTTAAAATATATAGTTATCTACACAAGCTGATTCATCAAGCATGCTTTTAAATATACTGCCAGAAAATATTTTTGAATAGGTACTTAGGTTTTTCTGCCATGTATTTGTCTAGTGGTAGTATAAGTAGTGACTAAGTACACACTTTTTGAAAATGAGAACCCATTTTTCTTCTGTAAATAATTTATGAATCAGATGATTTTTCTTAAAAAGTCAATGTATCTAAATCTATATTTAAATGGAAAGATTCTGAGTTATAATCTAATGATAATATAGTTAGTCAGTTGTAGTCCTTTGTAATGGTTTAATATAAAATATATGTAATATTTACTATAGTATAGGTACTTATATTTAAACACAGACAATTTTTACATAAACCTACTAAAATGAAAAATTATACCTTTATAGTAGGTATTAAAGTTTGATTCTTGATCGAATTTTTCCAAGATGTATCAATATTCAAAAAAAAATAATTTTTTAATAATTTACAAAAAAATGATGTTTAAAATGTTTGAATCAACAGATCTAAAGATTTGAAAATATGGTGTTGAGTACCTACCTACTTAATTTAAACTATAAGATAACAACGCATGTTAGGAAAATATAATATTAATTCTCCATTACTCGTAGAATGCGGTAGTAAAAAAAAATATTATGGTTGCTTTCTTGCTTACTGCTTAGTGCTTACTTGGAATGGGAACTTATATTACTATTTACAACTGTACAGAGCTCATATAAATTATACTATTGTCGTATTATGCATGAATAAAAAAATAATTTTATTAAATTCCTGTTATGTAAATAGTATTCTCGTTACAAATATCTTTCAGAATTAAATTTATACTGCGCAAATTAAAATGCATTGCATCTACATCTACGTGAACGTGAGTCAATATCGCGCAAAACCCTCGACAATGGATATCTTATCAGTTATCACCGCGCAATAATAATAACAATATAATATTATCTAAACGAGCGAATCGTACCGTGGTTTATCGTGCGATCGATAAGCAATAAACATCACAATTTATACACCATAGAGTATTACCCTATGGTATACACCATTATAATATTATATTATCAGCTAATATAACGTATTTTACAAAGTTTGTGCAAAAAAAAAAAACGTACACGCGAATATTATTATTTTAATACTATATAATATTATGTACCGCGTACATGCGATAGTCGTCTTTTGACATTTACAACCGATGGCGGATTATCACATATCATACTATTGTATAAACGGTCTATTGTCCCGTCTTATGTGTTCCACTGAATATCTCAGCCTAATGGCCTTAGATTGAAATACGGTTGGCTGTGATAGCTAGATGGTACCGAACTCATGAAAATTTCACGTCGGCGTGTGTTTATGTTTTGGAAAATCGAAAAAATGGAATTATTTTCAAATTTCGAATAGTTGTAACTGAGTAATAATAATATATAATGGTTATACTATTGTCGATATTATAGGTACAATGTCCCCGGTACATACTGTGCATATAATATTATACACATATACAAAATAAAAAGATGGTCAAACTATTCTTTTCGATGATTTTTATTTTATACTAAGAAAAAAGTCAAAACTTAATTTCTTATACGAGAGGTGCTTCAACGCCTTTGCAACCACCTCGTCTATATCCCTCTCAGCTAAACTTTAAAGCTTGTATTACTATTTAAATAATACTTAACGGAAGTTACATTAATCGACTTTTAATATAATAAATATTTCCATAAATTTGCCATCACAGATTCTTAAGAAACAGGGAGACCACCGTTTAAGTAATTACTAACCGAATATTAAATTATAGCAATAAAATTGAGGTTTTTAACTTCTTTATACAATACGGAAATCAAGGTCCAAAGAGCATCGTTTTAGACTGAAAAGTAAAATAATTTTCAAACAATTTTTTATGGTTATTATCATCCAACCACAATCCAACCACAATTAGTATTAAACAAGTACCACGATATACGTTCCCTAATTCCGATAATGCAAAAAGACAACAATATTTTTTCCCTTATTAAATATGACTTGGCTGAAAGATATTTAGGAGACGATACTAACAATAATTAATATTAAAATACTAATTATGAGTTACAATTGTACAATAATGGTAATCGTAGACGTCGTTGCAGGAACAGAGCCGGCAATTAGATTCCGAAGAGCAGATCGAAAATGATGAAAATCAAACAGACAACAAAACACAAATAATAACAATATAAAATATGTGAAAAAATAAAACACCTGGTGAGTCGTGAGTGGTGGATTTCGATAATTTATTGTATTTATTAGATTGATTGTAACAACTGTTTTATTGAGTATAAAATAAATAATTTTACCACAATAACATTGTATTTTGCAGACGTTACCCGTGTTTATGTCGAAAATGACGAACAAAAAAATTATTACTACGAAAATTTGCTATGGTGCGCATAACAAGTATACATTCCTATTCTATTGAACGTTCGAGGAACGTTTCACAAGACGTCGATTTCCTTATATTATTTCTCTCGA